ACAAGTTATGAAACGTAAAACCTAGCAAAGGATAAGACCAAAGAAGAAATCTCTACACCATAGCACCACATGAGCGTAAATAATACTAACTATAGTGATCCAGTTTTTATAATACCTGACTTAGAGAACTTCTTGGATGAAAGAGTGAGAGTACATATTATAAACCATTGTAACTGTTTACCTTGATAATGGTGTAAATATATATCTTGATAATGGTGTAACTGATAAACTTGATAATGGTGTAAATATATATATCTTGATAATGTTGTAACTACTTGATAATGGTGTAAATACTTACCTTGATAATGGTGTAACTGTTTACCTTGATAATGATGTAAATATATATCTTGATAATGGTGTAACTGTTTCCTTTGATAATGGTGTAACTGTATGCCTTGATAATGGTGTAATTATTTACCTTGATAATGGTGTAACTATTTACCTTAATAATGGTGTAACTGTTACCTTGATAATGGTGTAACTATTTACCTTGATAATGATGTAAATATATATCTTGGTAATGGTGTAAATACTTACCTTGATAATGATGTAAATATATATCTTGATAATGGTGTAACTATTTACCTTGATAATGGTGTAACTGTTTACTTTGATAATGGTGTAACTGTATGCCTTGATAATGGTGTAATTATTTACCTTGATAATGGTGTAACTATTTACCTTGATAATGGTGTAACTATTTACCTTGATAATGGTGTAACTGTTTACCTTGACAATGATGTAACTGTTTACTTTGATTCTCATCATCTTCTAAAACTCTGTTTAACGGTTCAGTGAAGCCTAAATTGGGTGCTTTACAGTTTACAGTAAAAAACATACTAACGCTTTCTGAGACTATTGTTTCAGTGGATTTATTTATAAACACAAGCCAAATACACGCTTAATATGCAAGAAACAAGAATTTAGAAAAAAATATCATCCTAAATTCCAATGATTTGTGGATTAAGAAAAAGTATAAGATACCCGGATATAAAGTAGATTTCTCATTAAAGTGATAGTTATGATAATTCCTATAGAAACAACTGAGACTTAAGACAATGTCATTTTAGCTTTAAGAGGATCACATCCAAAAATAAGATGCAAATACTTTAGATGTTTATATTTTAACGTAAAGGGATACTTGAGTGAATACGAGACTCTACACACTTCGTTAAAATTTCGAGGATTATTGACATAAACTGTGATATTAATCCCAACATCACTTGCGGTAGAAAGCTGAATGTATTTTATATTCACTATTAATGTCATGAAGATCTCCTGGTATGTTATAATAACCTGTTGTGTCTATTGACGATGTGATTTTTCTTACTTATAATGATCTCAGACAGCTCCTGATGATACCATTTTCTTCATCACTAACTATAGTTCTTAAGCCTACATTAGCTAATGATGACAAAGTACAACTGATTTTAATGATAACAATTATCTTTTTCGGTCATAAATGCTCATTGTTTGTATATAATATTCGCGCTAAGCTTTGTCCCCCGGAGGGACAGCGGTAAAGTCTTCAGATTTAAAACGCTAAGATCAGGGGTTCGATTTCCCTCGGTGGACACTGCAGATAGCTCGATGCGGCTTTGCTATAAAAAAACACACATACGTATATCCAATAATAGTATTAAAAAACAAAAACAAGCGATAACAGGCCCCCGCATGGCCAGGTGATTAGGGCGCTTGACTCGCAATCTGCGGGTCACAGGTTCAAATCCCCATCCCACCAAACATGCTCGCTCTTTCAGCCGTTGGGGCGTTATAATGTAACAGTCAATCCCATTATTCGTTGGTAAAAGAGTAGCCCAAGAGTTTGCGGTGGATGGTGATGACTAGCATTTCCTCTAGACTTTTACTGCTAAATTAGGGACGGCTAGCGCAGATAGCCCTGGTGTAGCTTTGAGTGAATTTCAAAAACCAAACAAACAACCCTAAGCTATCTGCGCATAGTGTTTCTAATTTCATAGACAAGAAGAAAATCATCACCCACCGCAGACTTTTGGGCTACTGATGTATCACCCATTAGTGGGAATTAACAGTCACTCTTTAGTGTACCCACGGTTCCAAACTGCCGAGTACATTTTTGTGGTAACGAGGCGCCAATTATGAAACCACAGGATTAAGCCACGCCCAACCCATGAATAACACAAATATAACAATTACTTGAAAAAACCACAGAGTCGGAATATACAGTGATTATTTAAGGTATTCGGGAACGAGAATATACATATATGTCACTAGTTTAGTTCGTTTTTCTTTTGTTTTTTGTTTTTTTTCAAAGTAAAATTATTTATTTGAGGCTTGAACAATGATTGAAGAACAAAGTATTACAAATTGGGTTGACAGACTTCAGTTTTAACGCTAGTTAATTCTAAGTCTTGACAATCAACGTAAAATACAGGTTTATTCTAAGCTCCTCTGGAGTTAATATATAAAAGTCACTCATATCACGTGTCCCATTTATCAGGAAATAAACCCACACTCTTGTAAGGCTTATTTATCAAAGCAGCGAAAAACCGCAAGCACAACACTGCTAACGCAGGTTCGAACGTACCGATAATTAGCTAGCTAGATGAAAGGAACAGACAAATACGTGAAAAGATAACTGAATGATAAGAGGAGGGAACGAGTAGATGTTATGATGAATGGATAAGCTAGCAGGTAGTGTGATGGGTGAATAGTCAAGACTGGTAGAGGTTATGGTTCTGTGAGGAAAAATTTTTTTTTAGTCCTTAAGTAATATACGTTTGTAAGAAAAAAACAAAAAAGATGTTAGTTGAAAATTACATTTTAATGCTATGTATGACTTTTGATAACTTATAGAAACATCATAGTTTGTCATGATTATGATACTTGTAAAATAGAGCAAAAGTAACTAAACACAGATTTCCATTTTTGTAAACCAGTATCTTTAATACAAGAAATAAACGACCTTGTAACACCAAATTGTTGTTTTTCGTCAATTGGACACTCAACGTTTCACTTCATAGCTTCTTAAGGAGTGTTCCACTGAAACACAAACCCTGGAACGCTCCTCAAGAAGCTGCAAAGCGAAACGTTGTGTGTACAATTAAAGTAAAATAACAAATTTGGTATTATAAGGTCACTCATTTCTTGTATTAAGATGTCTTCTATACACCAATATGCACTACCGAAATTAAACTATCTTTATTTTGTCCAAAAAAAAGTTTGACATTGCAATTAACATTGGCGAAACTTAAAACTAATTTCAAGGAATTCTACAGTTGGCTAACAATTTGATAAATAGATATGCTCGAAATATTTCATACCAAAATCCTGATTAGATCCAAACACTGAAATAGTTTGAGGATTGTAACTATTGGCAAAATATGGTTGACAAAATGAAATCAATTTCGAAAAATCACTGCCTGTGTGTTTTTATTAACGTAAAGGTTTGTTTGTTTGTAATTAAGCACAGAACTACACAATGGGCTATCTGTGCTCTGCCCACCACATGTATCGAAACCCGGATTCTAGTGTTGTAAATCCGCAGACATACCGCTGTGCCACTGGGGGGCTAACGTAAAGGATGCACGTGATGAAACAAAGTAATATAGTCATATTTAAATTTATGGACTTACAACGTTAAAATCGGGTTACATTCCAGTGGTAAACAGACTACAAATAGCTCATTGATTAATGGAAATTCCCATATGTTCATAGGCTCTGACTTTTAAATGGCTTTTGGTTTTGCCAACATAGGAAGCCTTACAGTCTCTACACGTGTAAAGATAGACAAGCCAAGAACAAACAAAGCTTAAATTTAAAAAATCCACTTAAACGCATACTTGGTCGTTACTACCCTCAAGTGGATTTAAGATTAGTTTTTAAATCCACATCACGCATAAAAAATTTCTTCCCTTCTAAAGATCTCTTCCCCATTCCTTATTGTTCTTGGCTCATTGAGTAGTTTTGCGCAGAGAAAACAACAGTAACATAAGCCGAGCTAACATAGAAATGTTGAAGTGCGTCGACGCAGCCGTTGATTAATTTTGCAGCTAAACAAAATCGCTGCATTTATTTGGCTAAGTTGAGCACTCTTGTGCTGTTTTGTCCACAGCTTTAATAGTCTTAATTGAACGAAATACAGTTATCTGTAACAAATCAGAAAAATTATCTTTAATTCTAACGAACATGATACTTTGTTTGTCTTCCCAATTATACAATTGTTCATTTTGCTTTTGTTCAAGAAGGTTATTTCATTTAAATGCAAGGAAAATAATTGTTCACTGATCACAATCATAAAAAGACACACTCCTGACTATCATTTGGGTAAACTATTCGAGTCAGATGGATCTTATCATCAATTGCTATTCTTTGTCCGTTAGAATCTAGGTTTGATCGGGAGAAATGTCTGTCAGAACCATTTTAGTGGTTTCTACAAACTGAAAATACAACATTTTACTGTATCGTGAAGTCTTCTATCACAGTTTCTCATGGCGGTTGAAAATATATTTTCTAAAATGGAGCTTAAAAAAGGCTAGTTGGTCGTCATTATCAAATAATTAAGACACCATACTATGTTTCTCAAATAAACAGGATTAGCAAACCTTACAAACATCTAGTAATGTACCTAAAAGCTCAAGCGCTTTAAGGGAATAGTATTTTCTTTATCAAAAGCACACGGAAGCAACCAACCAACCACTTTTGGAAAGTGCTCGAGCTATGGAATCGTTTTACGGCTCCATAATCACTTTGTAATGACCATGGTGTTATCTTACTTTAATCTCTCTATACAAAACATGCAAAATGTTTTATTAAAACACGTCATGTTCGATAGCTAAAAAGAAAAAGAAAAAACACATATATTCAGTACGAATTAACACGTAAAGTGGTTTATAATATTATAAAAATTAATTTCCATCTGTGGCTTTAAATTTGTCTGCTTTATGAAGACATCAATTAATCATTCAGATGGAACACAAATCACTCAGAAGTTATTGATATTCAGTACTTATACATCTTACCTTGGTTAGTCTGCTCGTACATTGGGATTATTAAGGTGAAAGGATACTTGTTTACTCGTAAATTAAATACACTAAAGTAACATACTTAAAAATGAGTTAAATGTTCCGTTTATAAATTTTAAAACGTTTATGACAGAGGCTGGGATTCACACTGTTCACTGAACGTTGTAAAGCCAAAGAGATGCAGTTATTACACACTGTCAAACGTTCTAAAGCCAAACAGATGTGGTTATCACACACTGTCACCCTACCGAACGTGATGCGAAATAGTGACTGACCTCAAATTCTCGCGAGAAGCACGTGGTTGTCTGCACGCACTCTATCTCATTCACTGAGTAAGCACGTGACTACAGGCAGGTGCAGCAGAAATCATGGGCTCGACCCTTTGTGGTTCGACCATGGACGAGACCCGTTGGCTCCTGCCGGCTTAGTTTTTTTTTTAAATTGTGTGTGTTTTTTTTTCTTTTTTCGGTGGCCTGCTAACTTACGTCCATTTTCATGCTTCATCCAACCGGGCAATGTGTCTGACTGCATAAGTCTATGAAGCGTTTAACACGAATTACTTCAAAATTTTCTTTTGTTATTTGAAAATTTTATATGTTGTATATTAAACATTTGGTTTTAGTTTTGTTTTTTTAAGTTTCAGCTCTCTTTAATTACCAACACCGGCATTACATGATGCGTAGGTAGGGTACTAATATCTTTTGTTTGTTTCTAACTCTGATTGCACGATATCTAAAACTCACTCAAAAGAATGTATATACGAAACATAACACATGGAAATGAGATATTTTTGAGTTAAACATCAGAGATCAACATGAGAAGACATAAGACAGCATTGAGTGTTACTTCATTTGTTTAATCCAATGCTTGAAATTATATTGCTAAAAATACAAACGAAACTCATATATATATATATATTATTGTGTAACTTTAACAGTATGACCAGAATTAGTTGGTGTGGTATTAAAAGGTTGCTTAACAATGTCGCAAGAGTACTAATGGGTGACATAGATATAGAAGCAAGAAGGTAAGAACATAGGATCTGATTTAAAGGTTCATATTGTTGTAATGACATCTAAACAATTGTGGTTAAGGTGAAATGCATTGATATCTCAGGTAACATAGGGAAGTTTGTAAGTAAGATAGCTGAGTTGACACAGTGGGAACAATGTAAAGAGAGTGGTGACTAGTATCATTAATAAAACTACTGTCTGAAGTAATTGTACTGACGCAGTGGGAACAATGTAAAGGAATTCGTGATTGGTAAGGCTAGGCAAATTGCTGTATGAAGTATGCGTCGACGTAATGGTAACATTGAAATGAGAATGGTGATTGATGTCACTAGAACAATTGCTGAGGTAATTGTGTTGGCACAGTGGCAACAATGAAAGGGGATTTGGTAGATGATTCGACTAAAAAATTACTGTTTAAAGTAACTGTGTTGACCCCAGGGGTATGAATGAAAGGCCTTTAGTAGTAAATGTTCATGATCACGCAGATATTTTAGTAATAACGCAGACGGCTTTAGTAATTCTGTTGGTTCTTTGATAAAAGTACGAATACTTGTGGCTGGTGTCATACTGAGGTTGTGTCGGTGATGAGAAAAAATATATACACATTAATTTGTGGCGTAATTCCTTGGAAATGTTTCTAGTTGTTTTTTTTTGTTTTTTTGAGAATACTAGAGGACGCTGCATGTATATATTTAATAACATGTTATGTTATAACTGTGACAATAATTTTCAGTCGTCGGTATTGAAGTTAATGACATTGTAATTTAATTTGACATTAAATTGTGCTTATATATATACCCGTCATCAACACAGCATTATTTGTAAACCATTAAGTATTACTGAACTATGCAACCTACACATGATCTGGTCGCCAATAGGCTAATTTCTGCTGCGTGGGAATGAGTGCCAATTTCTAGACATACAGAAGCCACTGGAATGGTGTAGATCAAACCGCCCTTCATTTGAGATTTCAGGCAATGTGTATGTCTTTGTCATACCCACTAGCAATCCAGAAAAGTCTTAGCTTGTTCGGATACAGCACGTGATATTTTGACCTGTTTCAATAGATAACGCTTGATTTATAATTTTGTGTAGTTTCTTTAACTGATTAAAGCAAAAGATGAGATCCAATTAGAGTAATGAACTCAAATTAATTTTCAAATTTCGTCGACTAAATACATTATGGGCTCAAAAACTAAACCCGACCCGATCAGTTCCTCTCTAATTTATTTATATTTAGCCGCGACATAGCGGCTCATAAAGTGGCTCTGAGCAATTTTTTTCAAGTACAAACTCTGCGGACTTACAACGCTAGAATCCGGGTTTTAATACCCGTGGTGGGCAGAGCACAGATAGCCCATTGTGTAGCTTTGTGCTTTATTACAAACAAACAAACAAGTACAAACTTTTAATTCGTAGCTCCATCTCTTGACCGATTTGAGATCTAATTACAGCCGCGGGCATTGAGGCTTCCTTCTTGTTTAAATCAATTTTTTTCGTAATTAAATTAATTCAGAGTGTTTCTGAAGTTATACTTGACATATTTGGTCTTCATATAAATAAAAAAAGCCGTAAGGCAGTAAACTGATTGCTTTCAGTACATCATAGAATTCTACAGATGTAAAACCAAATACAAAGATTTAAAATTACCAGAAACAAGTCTGTGCCCAGTAAATATTTTGGTTATTTGTGTGAACAGTAAATATTTTGGCATGAAAGAAACTTGGCATTATTTTGTTTTTGCACGTGTTGCAGCCGTGCTAACAAAATGCTTGGGTATTTGTTATACATTTTCATTCTTCGCGGGTGTTAGACAGAAGGTGTTTATTCGTGCCTTGATCTTGCTGTTGTGTTTATGAGCTAGTCACTCGCAGGTTGCCCTTACGTGTAAGTTACTGCGCTGTCTTGCTTTGAGTGAACGCCTCAGGTACTAAGAGAAATGTACTTGACATATACAAACAACATAAACGGGTTTCATCTGTCAAAGTGATAACTTTGTTTCTTGTCTGAAACGACAAAAACTCTCCCTCTTCTCTCTACATCTCTCATTTTTCTTTCTTATCGTAGAGCATTTCAAATCTAAATTTGGCTTTAGTATAGTTTCTCTGTAGTTATTGAAATCTGTCTGTGAAAACAATAAACCCAATATAGTGTATATTGGGTGTCTACAGATGGTTGTACAATGAATAAAGGTAAAATCACCTGGTAAAATATATGGTGGTCAACTTAACATCTGGTTTCTCATACCACCTTTACGTGACCTCTTTAGACCTGCACTTGTGAAATTGTCCTGATAACGTGCGTTCTGCACTTGTGTTAGAGAATGGATAACATTTGAGAGCATTTTGTATCTTTCTTTTTAACTCAAAACTTAGTAAGTTTTAAAATATATATAACCATTTGTAGGCATAGTATTTCTGATAACTGTCCTTAAGGAAAAATATTTGATTTGAGGTATTTGTTTGTTTCTTCAATTTCGCTTAAAGCTACTCAAGGGATATCTGGGGTAGACGTCCCTAGAGGTAAGACAGCTTAATCAATATCTCCCGCCGCCTACTTTTGGGCTGCTAGTTACAAAGGAATAATGATATTGGACGTCACTTTATAACGCCCCATGTCTTTAAAGACAAACAGGTTCAGTGACGGGAATCGAACCTGCGACCCACATATTGCGAGTTCAGTCCATAGCCACCAGACCACGCCAGGTCATGATTTGAGGAGAGGAGATTGTTTCGAACATTTGTTACTCTTGGTTTTATATAAAAAACAACAACATTACGATACGTTTATGAAACATTTTCATATTTTGCTAACCAATCCAATTCCGATATTCAACCTTAAAATCCTTGAAACGCTCGAACCCTTACGTAAACATCACGTGTGTTATGTTTTACCACGAAGGAATTCATGCAGACATGTATATACATCAATATCAAGTCAGCTGCTAGCTTGAAAGATGGGAAAGCTTTACGAAATAGGAACGTTTTCGACCTTCGGATGGAAATAAACATTCGTGCAATGTAAGCTTTGCATTTCCTAGAAAATAGTTTCTTTAGTTGTTGATTTTTCGGAGGGTAAAGGGAAGTAAAACGTGTACAAGTAAAGAAAAACTTTTCAAAAAAACGGAAGTAAATAAAGTTTTTTCTTTACTTGTTTGCTTGTTTTTTTTAATGTAAAGTTTCAATAGACATAGAAACGTTGTATTTATAACCAAGTTCTAAATACAATGGTGTTCCAAATGTAATATTTATTGTTTATCTATTATTGGCTGGTAATTCGTGTTTCACCCTGTATACAACATTTTTAAAGGAATACCAAATGTCTGTAAAAAAGCTAACACCAAAGGGTAATGATAACATCGTTTACACTAGAATTATGATTTTTTTAATTACTACTAGTTATTAATAATACTTATAAAAGCGGATACCCCGTTTGAAACTACGTCACGTTTTTGAGTTATCATGTAATAAAAAAGAAAACAAGAAATTCAAACTTTTTGCTGTCATATTTACACACATTCCCAGAACTTGTGACTCAATTATTACACATATATTGTTATAAAAGGAAACACTGTATATTATTTTAAAGTTCTGATGACCTATTGAGAAGATATTTAAAATACCATTTCGATGAACAATCCGAACCATCCTTATATGGGCAGTGTTACCGCCTGCCTGATCAAACGTATAAAAGCCAATATGTGCATGCTTGAAAGTTTTTAGACTAAGCTAGAACTAATACTACGGTTCTCCACTTGTATTGATATAAGCTCGCTGATGGCGCTCTGTAGTACAGAGTGGTCATCATGAGAGTTTTGCGGTTCAGCACGTCACATCTTCTGTGGCATGGGAAGGTAAAAGTGCACAGAATGTTAAGGATATCATGGGATGTAAATGCCACAACTGTAACATGTAGCCACTTTGGGCGCCACGCATATTTCACATTGGTATAAATAGGTCTGTAGATCAAAATGTAGCTCATTCAGAAAATAACATAGCTAAATAAAACATTTTAATATATATGCTGTTTGCCTCGTCTGGACCCAAAAGAGCCTCTGGGTGGAGAACCATGAGAAACTACTATGTGTATATAGACCTTTCCTTCCTTCATCTTGTTCACTGATCTTCACATATACAGCTTTTACAGATATCTTGAGACGCTTTGCAATGTTAGTTCAGCATTGAAAACCCACGTTTCAAATTAATACCCACTCCTACCAGCTTAGTCCAAAATT